ATCCCTAGTACAGGAATGGGCTTTGGAAGCCCATTGCCTATGGAGGGATACTCTCTCAGCCTAGATACATTGGGGAGGACCTAGGTCCTGCTTCAAATGATGTGTCAGATTTTGATGATCCCCATGGGAGGCCTCACCCTCCCTGAGGAGTGACTGGAGGGTGAGATGGGGGTGGGGGGAGGATGGAAGGGATAGGGAACTGGTTTGGTATGTAAAATAAGATTGTAGCCCTTTATGCCTCCTTGTGGTTTCAGGTAAACCCAGGCCCACTGATGCCCAATCCCAAAATAACTCAGAAGAATAATTTAAAATCTGCTTCCTGCCCATGGATTATGATAGAAGACGTGGATTCTGCCCTATCTCCCTGCCCAACACTATGTACACTGGAGAATCTCTGCAGATCAGAAACTCCTTTTGTTCCCTGGAACTAAACTTCACTGAATCACATTGCAGCTGGTGGCACCAGAAATTTAAAATCATTCTGCTCCTGTGTTGCTGAAGGTGGTCCACATCACTATCTTTCTACCAGTTTCTAAGCTATTTGTAACATTTATAAGACACACCTGAAAGTGGAATGCACTATTCCAAACTTCTGGAAACCAGACCTTCAGCTTTCCAATCGATCTTCCCACTGCACACCTAAAGCAGTGCCCGTGTGTCACACCAGACAGTGATTCTACAAGCATCCTATCCTACTCTGCCAGGGCAACAGAGTCTCCCGCTCCCCAGGAAATCCATGTACAGGGAGGCTCAGAGGACAAGAGCCACTGCCCAGGTTATCACATAGACCAACAGAACCACAGTGTGTCTCATGGTCCATCCAAACCCAGGAGAGATGACAGCTCAGCCGACCTGCCCTAAACACCCTACACTCGCAATAACATGGCCTGTGGTCTTCCTTGCAACTACCACAGAAGCAGAAGACAATCATGGAAAGAACTCCCAAGCTACCTGCCACTAGCACTCCTGATTGCTAAGCTACCCAGAGTCCCTCATTGGCTAGGGTCACCCAGCTGGGCCTGGGAATATTAGCAGATCCCCTACTGGAGATCAGAGATCAAATGATTCAGACAACACAGAGTTTCTAGCTCTGCCCTTCCAGCCCAAGAGACAGGGCCCTAGTCTAGAAAGTTTGTATTTTAGTAGACATTCACTCTTCTAGAGCATATCCTGTTCATATGCACATTGCATTAGACACTCAATGTGCAGTACAGCCAACCCATTGCCTCATAGCTGGGAAATCCAGCAGCCAAACACAGATCACATTTACACAGTAACTTTTGTTACTGTAACTGTTGTTAACAAAAAAATAGGACATGAATTATAAAACAATGAGCGGTCATGGTAGGGCTTGGAAGCAGGAAAGAGAATGAATAAAATAAAAAAATATATATTTTTTCAGAAGTTGAAACAGGCTTTATGGCCATGTACTCCATAGACTAGGGATTTGTATGAGAACTTATCAAAGATTTCTCAAACCTCTTCTCTAAGGATGAATATCTTAAACCAGACAAATAGCCATCCTGTTCGGCAGGGACACAACATTTTACCTAGATCTTCTATATTGGTTGAACTACTGTAACTATACTTTAATTTGGTTTCATGATAAGGTCAGTCCTTTAACCAGATTCTTGATTGCCCTAGTCTGTGGACACCAGAAATGGCCAGTCAGGACATTTATGTGTGGTGATATGCTATTGATGGATTCAGAAAGCAAAGTCTGCCACAAGCCTGGCACACACCTTTAATCCCAGAACAAGCAGGCAGATCTCTGATAGTTCAACGCCACACTGACTGCACGAAATTAATCCAGTGCTAAGAGAAGGAGCTCACACAAAGATGATCTCGGCATTTGGTATCACTGGCCTTTAATCCCAAGACTAGAGAGGTGGAAAAGATAGGAACAGAGTCTTCAGTAGGCTTAGACTCAGGATTCTCTAGCCACACTGAGGAGAGGCAACAGTCTGAGGCTTGGTGAAGAGCAAATGGATCAGCCCTTTCAGCCTGAGCTAGAGGCGAGAGAGCTAGTGACCAGCTGCTTTGCTTTTCTGATCTTCAGCTTGATGCTTGAACCCCAGTATCTGTCTCTGTGTCTTTTAGTTTTCATGCTACATTATGGAGCATCTAAAATTGATTACATGACTCCCCCTTGCTAATCCCACCTAGTGTTGAAGCAGGAAAGCTCTCACCTCCTCCCTGCCCTCTTCTTCTGCACAGTCACTACATCAGCCTCATTGGCAGTCAGTGAACTCAATTCTTGCACAGGTCCCTCTTCATTTGTATGTCCACAAAAAATCCAGAGACACTGGCAGATGCTCATTAACTGCACCATTTTTCCTTCTCACTGAGCTGTTCAGGCCCAGCCTGGAAGGAGTTGCAGGACTGTTTTCTCATCAGAGACATGACTGGGTTTTCAAAGCAATTCCCAGTTACATAAAACGAGGCAACCATAAGCTATAGAAGACATTGCTCTACCCAGAAATCAATAATCAACATCACTTGAGAGAAAAGTAATGAAACCATCAATGACCTAGAAATATTGGAGAACAGAAAAAAATCGAGATAAGAACAACAATGCACTTAATGAAAGTATTTTAACATGATACCAATAAGTGACTTTTAAAATGATAAAAATTACTATGTTTTTAAAATAAAAATGTTCACTATCTTATTTTTGCTTTTGTTTTTCGAAACACGGTTTCTCTGTATTGCCGTGGAGGTTGTCCTAGAACTCGATCTGTAGACCAGGCTGGCCTCGAACTCACAGAGATACGCCTGCCTCTGGCTCCCGAGTGCTGGGATTAAAGGTGTGCACCACCAATGCCCAGCAATGTTCACTATGTTGACTTTGAAAAAGAGGAGGCACTTCCCTAGTAGAGGGAATGTCATTAATATGAAATAGGTTGGTGTTGCCCATATGCATGTGTTGGATGCTAAGATCTATAAACTGACACATAGATCTCTTTCTCAACCTCTGCGATGATACAACTATTTCAAGAAGGACTGAACATATTTGCATAGGTTAGCTGCCTAACTATAAGTCTAATATTCATTGGCTCAATATAACCCTCCCAAACAATGCACCCACACAATGCAGTCTGTGTCCCTTAGAATGACATGAATTAAAACCTGCTGGAAAATTATAAAATCACTCTCCCTACCACAATCAAGTCCTTTTCCATAATGGTGACTCCAGGAGCTGATTGCCTACCCTGTTTCCCCTGCAGTGTACACAATAAACAATGCCTCCCACTTTGGTCTGAAGACAGAAGCCATGTTCCACATGTGAGTCCTTTTCCTGGGACTGCACTTGAGAGTTGACTGCATGACTCAGGTGGATCATTTTAAAACTCTGAGGTGGTACAGTCACAGAACTTTGAAGTTGCAATACAGAGAACAGCAAGGTCATTACCCTGGAGAGCAACAGAATGGAATCAAGGCCCCCTGAGTCAACGTAAGAGAGCTCATCTCAGAAATGTTTTTCTTTTTTTTTATTTTATATATATATTTTTATATATTTGAATTACAAACAAGATTGAATTACATGACGATCCCAGTTCCCTTATCCCTCCCTTCCTCCTCTACCACCCTCCCAACTAAAATCCTACCTGTCATATGTCCTTTCTTCTAATCTACACCTGACTCAAAATTTCTGCTCCCTCATGACCTCTGCATCCTTCCTTTTCTTCCCTTCTCACTCTCGTAGCTTCCTCCCCCCTCTTCCCATGTTCTCAATTTGCTCAGGGGATGGTGACCCTTTCCCCTTCTCCAGGGGATAAAGTTTGTCTCTTTTAGGG